CCACTTCTTCGGATGCAGTAGGCTGCAGTCCACGAAAGCTTATGCTCTAATAAATTTGTTAGTCTCTAAGGTGCCACAAGTACTCCTGTTCTTTTTGCGGATACAGACTAACACGGCTGCTACTCTGAAACCTTTCATACCATGTTCCTTGAAAATATAGTTCTTTCTTGAGTGTTAAGTACTGATGGTGCTAAATATCGAATACAGCTGAATGTTTGAAACTAATTGAGAGTTTCTGTAAATGGTGGAAGATCACTTTCAATGTCTTATCAGATTTGTACTACCTTTTTTATTTTATTTTTTTTAAATGAAGGATATGAATAGCATGGAGTCGTGTTCTTCCTAGAAGATCTGCTGTTATCACTGTGGGCTAGCTACCTACGTTTTTTGTAAAATTTCGGCTGCAGGGGAGAGTTGTTCTTTTCTGTGGATCTGATATCTTCAAAGCATGGATTTTTTTTTTCAGAGGAAATAGTCATTCAGACGTAAATTCTGTCTACCTACAAGAGGGAGATACTGATGGTCTGTTTTCCATATACAATCATAGAAACCAAATACTTCTTTAAACATGTTTGGTACTATTGGTATAGAGCAGGGGTCTCAAACACGTGGCCCGTGGGATTGCCTCCTGATGCCTCAAACGCCGCGCTGCTCTCTGAAGCAGCCGGCAGCACACCCCTTCAGGGAGGGGGAAGGAGGCAGAGGGCTCCGGCATTGCCTCCTTCCAGGCACTGCCCCCCACTGCTCCCATTGGCCGGAAAGAGGGAACCGCGGCCAATGGGAGCTTCGTGGGAGGTACCTAGAAGAGCGGCAAGAGCCGCACAAGCAGGGAAGCCTGAGCCCCTCCCCCAGTAGCTGCAGGGACACTGTTCCAGCTGGTTCCTGGAACAGAGCAGCGTGGAGCCGGGAGCCAAGGCAGGCAGGGAGCCTGCCCTGGCCCTGGTGAGCACTGCTGCCACCCCGGAGCCGCTCTAGGTAAGCGGCACCAGGCTGGAGCTCACACCCTGAACCCCTCCTGCACCCCCAACTCCTTGCCCTGTGCCCCCTGCCACATCCCACACCCTGCCTGCACCCCAACTCCCTACCCTGAGCCCCCTGCCACATCCCGCACCCCCAACTCCCTGCCCTGAACCCCCTGCCACATCCCACACCTCAGCTCCCTGCCCTGAGCCCCCGCTGCACCCTGCACCCTTTCTGCACCCCCTGGGGGCAGCGTTGGGGTGGGGACTTCAGGGAAGGGATTGGGAAGAGGTGGGGCAGGGGCAGGGCCTAATTGGAAGTGGGTGGAGTGGGGGCGGGGCCAGAGGCGGCGGGGGGGTTCAGTGATGCGGCCCTTGGGGTCATCTGAGTTTGAGACCCCTGGTATAGAGAAACGTCTCTGAAAATCTAAAGTTGGATTAGCCTTACTAGTGCTGTGTGTGCTCACAAAAGCAGCCCTGATGCCGCAATCCATCAGACTCTCCTATTGTCCTGGTGTGTGCTAGGGTTACCATATTTTAATTTTTAAAAAGGAGGACACTCCATGGGGCCCCGGGCCCGCCCCAACTCCGCCCTCTCCCCTGAACGCTCCGCCCCCTGCTCCTCCCCCACCCCTGCTTCCCGCGAATCAAATGTTCGTGGGAAGCCTGAAACAGGGAGGCAGCAGGTAAGCTGGGGCTGGGGCGGGGTGCGGCGTGGCCCAGTCCGGCCCCCCTGGCCGAGCGGCTCCCTTCGGCGGCTGGCTGGCCCAGGCCAAGAGGCTCTGGCCCCGGCGTCTCCCGCCCGGCTCGGACCCTGGGGCCCCGGTCCCCGGCCGAGCAATTTTAAAGATGTTACTCTAGTGGAGGAGGACTGAAACTTCTGGTTGAAGGGGTTGAGGCCCTGGGAACGGCTAGACTTTCACCTTGATGTCCGTGAGAGAACTGGACAAAAAGCTTTAAAAAAAAAAATTCATTTATAACCCCTTTTTCATTGAAAAAAATTAAGAAAAATGTGTATTGTCTACCAGCTCTAATCGGTTATTCAAATGAGCAATATATTTTAATCCCGGTTTCATCTCCACTCTAAAAATTAACCTATGAAAATCCTGAGTACTTTTTGTATGTCAATAACTGTAGTTGGTACTGATATTTCTAACTATCAGATGGCTTCAGCTCCTTAAACACTAGCTGTAATACAGACAAATATGGAAAGCAGTGGCCTTGTACAGAGAAGAGTCAGAACTGTTAAGGCATGATATTCGAGCAATGAAACATTTAGACTGCAATTCAGTTATATAAAAACAATTTTAGCCTGAAAGGATTAACTTAACACACTCGCTTCTGAAGTGTTTTTTTATTGAAGTAATGGCTTTTTGAAGGACTCTTAAGTAACAGAAATTGGACTTTAGGAAAGATAGTGTGTTTCAAGAATGATGTCACAGCTCACCCATAATCTGCCTTTGTTAGAAGGAAGGGGGGACACTGACAATATACTTCTCAGAGACGTACTGGGCTTAATCTTTTACTTTGCAATTTCTGTATTTTAGGCCCTGGACAAGCTTGTTAATGAACAATTTAACATATTCTAGTAAAATGGCATGTTCTAGTTTGTATTAACCCAAACCTGTGCTTTGAATTGGAAAAATGAAAGATATTTTAGAAGCTTAAAACTGTTCCTATGAATTAAAAAAACAAACTTTGTCTCATTCTTAGGATGGTCTTGTTAAAGCTGATATGGAGAAGCTGACTTTCTATGCAGTTTCTGCACCAGAGAAGCTGGATCGAATTGGAGCTTACCTAGCAGAGAGACTGAGCAGAGATGTTGTCAGACATCGCTACGGGTAAGGGATTCAGTCTCTGTATAAATACAGATGCGGAAAGTTAGCTGTTTTCCCCTATCATTATTCTGGTTCAGTCTACAAGACATATAGAGTCAGAACCTTGGATATTGTTCATGCTTATGGGCAGGGGATAGCTATTAATTTTTATTTTTTAGCCAAAATATATTAAAAGTAAAGTGAATTATGAAGTTATAGGCAATGTTGGATGTGAAAATGACCTGGATTTACAAGTCAAACTTCTAGACTCAGCAGGACATATTTTCCACTGTACTAAGACTGTTTTCATTTAATATATCCTTCAGTTCTTCTGTTGGAGCTATAATTGTTATATAAGCTAATTGCCTGACTTCACAGGTGATTGTCCTTAATACTTGAGCTAAATTAATCCTCCTGACCCCAGAGGAACAGGTTGGAAATGGTCTTTCCTGTACTTTCCCAAAGAGGGAATAGGGGAGAAGAATATATAATGAAAATAGAGAGGGGAAGAGACCATAAAGTTGAAAGAGATTAAAAAAATGAAACAGCACATGGAATTGGAAGAGAATGTTGTTGCTGCCTGGCAGTTATCATTGAAAATAGAGGTATAGATGTAAAAACATTGTAAGAATTTTTTTTATGGAAACGGTCAGTATGTGAGTGACAGTAAACACCCCTCCTGATCAGCAGTCTTCCCTCTCACTAACATGCTCTGTGTAGATTGAGATGCCTCCTTAAACTGTGGAAGTTTGATACACTGCTGTCTTGTCAGACTGGGATTTTGGTAGACTGAAGGCCCTCTACTGACTAGAAGAGTGGTGCCTTTAATACAAAATAAAAAGTAGGAAAAATAAGATCTAAAAAAAAAATTTCTACAGGAATACCCAGGAATCTTTACTTTCTTTGATTTGTCTTCGAAAATATACTTCTGAAATAAGTGGAGAATATTAGTGTGATGTGCCTTACACCAATCTGACATTTAATTTTTTTCCCCAGTTTTTATAATATAGGCTTAAATAAAAGCATGTAAAAGTTTGGGCCAAGGTAAATATGACACACAACTTGCATCTGTATGGATCTCTTCTCAATTTGCTTTCAGGTATGTTTTAATCGCCATGGAGGCACTGGACCAACTTCTAATGGCTTGCCATTCTCAAAGCATTAAACCATTTGTGGAAAGTTTCCTTCAGATGGTGGCCAAGCTTCTAGAGTCCGGGGAACCAAAGCTGCAAGTTCTTGGAACCAATTCTGTGAGTAAACAGTTTGCTAACCCAAATCTGAATCAAGTTCATAGAAGATTGGAGGTGGTGAGAGATTGTCATGCCAGATGTTCAGCTGGTATTCAATCGAAGGAAAAAACTTAATGAAAGCCTGAGATTGCATGTAGTTAGTGTCTGTATGACCCATATGAATGTATCTATAAGCAGCTTAACTATCAAAATAATTCTTATCTATGGATATTTATCCTACTAAAAGTATAAAATGATTTTCATAGTAAAAGTTGGAGGTGAATGCCTTACTCATGAATACAACTAATTTTATGTGGTCTTTTCCCCTTTATGGGGTCCATCCAGTCTTCCTCTGTTTGCACAGTGAAGTAGATTCTGCTTAATAGTAATCCCGATATTAACAACCTTCATTTAATAGTAGCATATCGTTGTCAAGAGGATGGGAGCTGTTCACCTTAATATTAATGGGATTCGGATATTGGCAGCAGTCATGCCACTTTCTTCCAAAAAGAGTTGTAAGTCCCTGGCTTTTTGGGCATTTAGTAAAATGTTCTCAGACAATTCCCATTCACATTTTTCTGTTTAAATTCATGTTCCAAATGGATTGTGCTCAATTGCTTCAGCTTTGTGAATTTGGCTCTCTTTAAGCATGAAGTATTGCGGCAGAGCTCCTTCTCCGCCTCGGTGGGTTCCGCGCTTTTTCTTAGTGGCGGGCTGGGGGATTCCTCTCTCCCTGGGAATTTCCCCACGCCCCTGGGTTTACTGCCCCCACATTGTCTGGGCAGGGGTTGCTCCCAGCCTCCCTGACTGGAGGGGGAGGGGAGCCTCTTAGTCTCCGGTAACTACTCCGGGTGTAGTGGTGGCAGGCCAGGAGCCCAGTTCAGTCTGTCCCCTCGGGCGGGGTCTCTTTTCCCCAAACCTCTGGGGCCTGGAAGGGCTATACTCCTTGTTGGGCAGGATTTCCCCTGCTCTTCACCTCTGTATCTGTGAGGTCTGTCTCCAGTGTTTACCAGTGTCTGCACTGTCCAGCTCTCCAGTAGCACGCCCGTTCCCCACAGCTCCTGTTGCGTGCACCTATCTGACTGGAGGGGAGGCTTTTAACAGGTTCTGGCAAGCCCTTGATTGACCCCAGGTGTCCTAATTAATGTGGAGTAACCCTTGTTCAATTACCAGGGGAAAAGGGACCTGCTTATCCTGGCGCTAATATACCGGCCTTCTATACTTACCTGGCAGGGGAGATACCATGATCACGAAGGTAGTTTTCCCAGGCTGAGGCTTATCCATTGCACTGCGGGTGTGCTGACCCCTGTGATTTCCACAAATGTGGTAGTGGGGGACTGTGTTCGCTCTTTCCCCAGTGTAAAAAAAATAAAAAATCACTCTCCTTTAGCCGTCTGGCCTAACCCCATCACCGTATATATTATTTGTTTGGAGTTTATTCTATTTGCACATTACAGATATGATCAAATCATTATCACTCATACCGAAGCTACCTCTAATGTTTAGTTCTGTGATCGGTTCCTCTGTCTGTCAAGGTGAGGTCCAATATAGATAGGGTGACCAGATACCAACTGTGAAAAAACGGGACGGGGAGGGTCATAGGTGCCTATATAAGAAAAAGTCCCCAAAAATAGGACTGTGCCTATATAAGAAAAAGTCCCCAAAAATAGGACTGTCCCTATAAAAGGACATCTGGTCACCCTAAATATACGACTTTCCCCCCCCCCCCCCAATGTTGAATGTGACTTCTGGAATTAGAAAATTGTCATCTATGATATTTAGAAATTCCATATATCACTGAAATTGAAATCCCCCATGAACATGCAGCTATTTTTCCCTGTACACATTATAGATAGGTGCTTAAGGAACCAGTTATCCTGTCCCCTAGTGTTTGGTGGCCTGCAGCAGATACAAACTAGTACTCAGTCTTGTGCTTTATCTGTTAGGACACTGAACTATAAGAATTCAAGATCACTTTGTCCTGAGCTGTCAGTGACTTGGAAACAGGTAATGTGATTTTTGACACAGAGTAGCCACTTCTCCGTTTTGCTCACTTGATCCTTCCTAAATAGGCCATAAAAAAATCCATTGATTTTTAGCATATCAGTCATGAAAATCATCCCACCAGGTTTCAGTAATGCTAACTAGAACAAATTTTTGCTAATAAATGAGCAATTCGAGTTCATCTTGTTTGTTACCTAGGCTCTGAGCATTAACTTATAGGCAATTCAAATAATTCCTTCTCTTCACAACCTCTAGTTTCATGATTAATTTTATCGTCATCATGATTTTGTGCTCTGAGTGCTCATTTGTGCCTTCTTTTCATCCTCTCCTTTTGTTATTGGGTTAACACCAGTCTGTTCTTGAGGAAACTGGTCCCACTTTCACTGAGGGCATATCTGCACTACAAACTTAAGCCGATTTTATGTAAGACAACATCGAGCCTCCGTATTAAGTTGATCCTGCGTGTCCACACCACGCTCATTGTGTTGGAGTGCATCCTCATTAGCAGCACTTGCATCAATGCACAGACCAGTCCCCCATGGATAGCTGTCCCACAGTACAACTAACCACAGGATGTTTTGGGAAGGGCTTGCAACGCCTCATGGGACTGAAACATTGTTGCGGGGGGGAATGGAAATATGTCTTCGGCCTCCCATGATGTACTTTCCCTCCCTCCCTCCCAATATCAACGGCAAACAGCCCATGTTTTTTTGCACCTTTTTCTGAAAGCCTGCCTTACCAGCACATACACCATAGCCTGAGAAGCATGGAGCCTGCTCAGCTGTGCACTCTTGTTGTGAGCATTACTAACACTGTGTGCCTTATCCTGCAGTATTTCCAGTGCAGAGACAGGAGCTGTCACATGGAACATTGTGATGTCATGCAAGCAGCCTGCTGTCTACTGCAAGCTATAGAATGAAACAAAAGTGTTTACTCTTATTTGTATACACACAAAGAAACTGAAAGAACAGAAACATAAGTTTACCTTGGGCAAACTGGCTGATAAAATTGGGAGGGGAGAAACCAAGTAAGTCAGATTGTTTTTTTTGAAAGCATGGGTAGCATCAAAGGTCAAGGATGGGCTCCTTTTGTTCTGTGTATCCTCCCCTAGGGTGAGTGGAAGGGATACTGCATTCCCCACTGCCTCCTGGAACGTTTGGGGCAGGGGGTTTGTGAACAGGGTAATGCTTGCAGGCAGTTCTGCAAGGCCTCCAGATGGAGTCTAGCCTCAATCTGTTTTTCTTGAAGCTCAACCATATATCTCAATATGTCTGATTGATCCTTCATAATCTGCAGCATCTCTTCCTGTGAGGCACGGTCCTGGGATGCTCTCCTGCTCTCCATGTCCACGTCCAGTTTCTCGGAGAGTGAAATCCTCTAGGCTCTGAGCTACGTCTCAGTTGTCCCTGAGGCATTCATTATCTTGCTGAACATGTCATCATCCTGTGTCCTTTTTTTCTGCCTTTTGATCTGTGATAACCTCTTCTGGTTTGGAGGATGCACTATAGGACAAGCTTTCAGCTATAAGGCATGCAAAGCACAAAGCAACCATTGTTAGCTCTACCCTGGTTCTGGTGCAAGGTTGGTATTTAAAAAAAAACCACTCCCCTTATTACACTCCAGTGCAAGACAGAACATAATCAGAACCCCTAGCTATTCAATGAGTCGGTTTACTGTTCCAGCCAACATGAGTATGGCCCCATGGCATGGGCGACGAGCCTTGTGCTGCAACTTGTGGGAAATTCACACTGAGGGCACAAGTGGGCAGATGAACAATGCCACCTCCCCCTAGCAACATGGATGTTGCTTGAGAACCAGTACCAGTGTTAAGACTCCCAAATCACTGTCTGTTTCTCGGGCGGTTCCATGGGGTGGGGGATAACACAGGAAACCTTCTCCCCCCCCCCCCCTTCCTTAACGCTGCTCTGAATACAGGGGTTCTCAAACTGGGTGTTATGACCCCTCGGCGGTCGCGAGGTTATTACGTGAGGGGGTTGCAAGCTTTCAGCCTCCATCCCCAAATCCCACTTCGCCTCCAGGATTTATAATAGTGTTGAAAGTGTTTTTAATTTATAAGGGGGGTCGCACTCAGAGGTGTCCTGTGTGAAAGGGGTCACCAGTACAAAAGTTTGAGAGCCACTGTCTTAGTAGATGCCAATCCCTGCCAACCAAAGCAATGGTACGTTAGGCAAAGCGTGGTTGAGGGACCCGGAATTCATTGGGAGAGGTGGATCACATGTTCCATTGTTTGTGGTACGAGCACTTGTAATGAAAACTTCCCCTGTTTTCTCTAGGTGACCTTATGTGATGTGATAGTCTCCTGAGGTTAACAGAGGGGGCAAGGGAGCAGATGCTGCAAGCATCTGGGTACAGACTTGGTTCTTATGCTGCGTACCAGAATGATACCAGCAGAGTTAACAGTGGAGTGGTATAGGAAAGTGTCCTACCATGGTAGAAGAAATAAGGCAGTCCCTCCCCAGAAACCTTCTGCAAAGGATTGCAGAGTACCTTCCTGAAAGTTTCCTAGAGATCTCCATGGAGGATTCCGGGCCATCCCTGTTCACATAAACAGTCTTTCCTGGGGAGCACCATCTGCGTAGCTGGAGCAGCAACTTCGAAGCAGATAGCCAATGCACCTCATTTTTTGTTCAGATTAAACATAAAGTATAATAGCATGTAAACCCTACAGTTTTGTTTGGAAATGTATACTCACCAGAGGTGCCTTCACCGGCATCACGCTCGGCCACCATACTTTCCTGAGACTGGCTGGGCTCTGGGGTTAAAAACAGGTTCTGGCTGTCAGGGAGAATGGATCCACTGCTCACCTGTCTCCTGTCCTCTTCCAGAATGTCTTCCTTGTTGTTTCCTGTGGTGGCCCGGGACTCATACTCCTGGGAGATGTCCACAGTGTGTTTGGGGGGAATGCTGGGATCACTGCTGAGAATCGCGATGTCCAGAGCGGTTACAGCAGAGCATTGTGGGACACCTTCTGTAGGTCGTTTGAGTCAAACTACACAAAGCTGTGTCTACGCTACCTCTCTGTTGACCCATCACTATCAAATTAAGTGCTACGCCTCTCCTAGAGGTGGAGTAATGAAATCGCTGTTACAGGCGACTTAGGTCAGCGGAAGGGACCTGGTAGTGTAGATGCATACATTATTACGTCTATTTAAGGTGGTTTCCATCGACCTAAGTTTGTAGTGTAGACGAGGCCTGAGAGAGAGAGGTCATTCAAATGATGTAACCCCCTCTTCTGTTCCCATAGAAGGTGGATCATGCACCGCAAAACCAAAAGTCTTTTATAAGAATTGATCTGGACAAATCACTTCAATAGGCTCTGAAGATGTTTGAACGTTTGTGAACATGTTAAAATTATGTCCTCCTTTTTTCCTCTTTCCTGAACTTCATGATTCATTACACTGTAGAAGATTGATTTGTCTAAAAAAACCATTTTGAAGACAAGAACCTAATTAATCACACTGCCACATAATTAGCAATGCTGTGAAACAAACAATAGGACAGCGGGTATTTGAAGCCTATTCCTGAAGCCCTTGAAAAGAGGAAAGCTTTAAAAAAAATTATAAAATAGTGTGTCAAGAGGGAACTTTGCTCAGTTGCTTATGTTCTACAGTGAATGTCTGTGGGCTGTTCTCCTTCAGACACAAATGAGTGGCAATAGACCTTAGCACATTGGTTTGATTGTTAGTCACTTTCTTACCATGTGACAACCCAGTGTATTCTGTTTCCAGGAAGATCATTTTTGTACAGTATCTCAGGTTTTTTAGAGCCAGCTTTTTCAGTGATGCTTAGAATATAGTTGTAAGAAATCTGCTAAATTTAAACTGGAACTACAGCTCTCAGTAGGTAAAATGATGGCAGTGAGGTTGTTGGATACAGAACTAATGTTGCAGAGGAAAACAAGAGAAAGAGATGCAGGGCAGAGGAAGATAATGAATGGTAACAGTTTCATTATATCTCCCTCAAATACAGAGCTCTCACCTTTAAGTTTGTACAGTGCCCCTGAATTAAAAAAAATAAAATATCATGGTAGTGACTGCTGAAGATTCCACATGGCTTTTCCAGTCATATCTGGATGACCTGTTGATACAGGCCAGTTCTAAAGTTCAGGGACCATGATGGAAGGGATGCGCTAGATCAGTGTTTCTCAACTTTTTTTGATACCAGGTACTGACTTGCTGCCTTTCTAAACTGTGTCAGGGAGATCTCAGGGATTGGTGCCGGTCCATGGGCTGGTCGTTGAGAAGGGGGAGGGATAGCTCAGTGATTTGCGCATTGGCCTGCTAAACCCAGGGTTGTGAGTTCAATCCTTGAAGGGGCCATTTAGGGATCTGGGGCAAAAATCTGTCTGGTCCTGCTTTGAGCAGGGGGTTGGACTAGATGACCTCCTGAGGTCCCTTCCAACCCTGATATTCTATGTTTCTATGAAATACTGCTCTAGACTGTGCTTGGTGATTTGTAAAGAAGTGTCAACTGTATCTTCAAGTTTGGCTCATTTGGGGACTTTGAGATAAGAACATAAGAATGGCCACACTGGGTCAGACCAAAAGTCCATCTAGATGCTAAAAAGATACTAATTTCTTGTCAGAGATACAGTTTGAATTCTTAGATGTGGCATCCAGAGCTTTTTCTCTGGTCTGAACTGTTCCATTCCTTTTTTAAACCAATATTTTTGTGTAAGCAACTAAACTTGTGGGGGTCAGTTATCTCCCGAGGCTTCTTCAGCAACTCTGTAGTGCAGAAAGCCATACAAATACCATCTGGATCACATCACTCACATGTTCTTTTGAATCAAGAACTCTTCATTGTTGTAGCAAATGTTGATTTTTATAGCCAGTAATTGTATAGCAGGGGTCGGCAACCTCTGCCACGCAGCTCGCCAAGGTAAGCCCTGGCGGGCCGGGCCAGTTTGTTTACCTGCCGCATCCACAGGTTCGGCCAATTGTGGCTCCCGCTGGCCGTGGTTCGCCGCTCCAGGCCATTGGGGGCGGCGGGAAGCGGCGGCCAGTACATCCCTCAGCCCGTGCTGCTTCCCACAGCTCCCATTGGCCTGGAGCAGCGAACTGTGGCCAGTGGGAGCCTCAATCGGCCAAACCTGCGGACGCGGCAGGTAAACAAACTGGCCCGGCCCGCCAGGGTGCTTACAGGGATCGCTAGCAGGAGGGTCTCTGCCGATTGAAGTCACTAAAACACAGGATTGGGGACTTCAACGGCAGAGTCCAGGGAAGGGTTTTGTGGCCTGCAGCATGCAGGGGGTCAGACCAGATGATCATAATGGTCCCTTCTGACCTTAAAGTCTGAGTCTATGAACCCCTGTTGCATAGCATAAAAACACTGTCAACCTTTCTACTCAGTGGGGCTACTAATGCATTTGATAGTTTAGTGTTTGAAAGTTGAAAATAACATTAGGTATCATTCAGCATTATCCTGTATCATTTATGGACTTTTTTTACTTTTATAATGTTCAAAGCATTTTGTGCAAACCACGTGGCATTAGGGAAATTCTCCTTAAGTTTGTGAATTTTTGTAAATTGAATGCTGCTTGTTAATTTCTGTTTCAAATGCCACTGAGCAATAGGAGATGCCATTATTTGGTACATAGTTTAGATAGACTGTTCAATCTGGCAAGCAACTTTGTGAGGTTGTTTGATGGGTAGATGCCTTTTTTCCCCAAAAATGTTATGATGCAACACTTTGTTTCAATTTTACATGTTCACGAACCACAAGGTATGCTCTATTTCATGCAATTGCATTTAGATCACTTTGAAATAATGCAGCTGCTAATGGAACAGCTTTTGAAAATAAAATGTATGGCAATTTAATCTTTTTTTTGTTTTTTGTTTTTAATTAGGATAAAACTGTTGCCAACTCTCGTGATTTTTTTTTT